GGCTACCGTACACGAAATCGATTTCGTTTTCGTTTAGCCGTGCTTTTCCTCCTCGCCCTCAGAGTTGGATGGCCGCATCCACCCCCATCTTTCAGGCCCGCCACTAGCCCCTTCTTGTCCCCTTCCCTGAGGAGCTTCCTGTCTCTGCTTAAAGGGCCATATTGCGGGGACGCGCCTGTTGAAGGATTTTTTTGTGCTGAGTGCTATGGTGGTGTGAGCAACACTACTTATTTAGTGCCTCGAAACGGTGCGTCCTCGCAATACTGCAAATCGAGGCCGGAAGCTCCTCCGTGCAAAGAAGGTCCTCGAGGCGGCTCTCCAAGATGAGGAAGCGGCAACTAGGTCGCTTCCATCCCCGGAAGTTACAATTCACCAAAGCCAAAGAACAGGCTGAAATATCGAGAAATCGTTCGTCGCGCGCGCGGCAGTGCGGCACTGGTATAAAGATAGGGATGCGGCCAAGACCTAATTGCAGCCAACTAGGATTCGCGGTCGATGACCTAGTTTAGGCCATAGGGTCCGACTGAAACAAACGGACATGACTTGAAAAAAACAGATGCAATAACAACAACAACGGTAACAAAGGAGTATCTCTCACCTCGCCCGTTCAAGGTCGGCCATGCGCAGAAGGAAGTCGTCTTCGTCATCCGAGTCCTCTTCTTCCACCTGTCTCGCCAACCCATCCAATGGCCCAGCCAATCACAGACATCCATTCAAGCCCAGCCCATGAGATTCGGCATTTGACCCGACCAATCCGAGCCATTCGTCATCGTCGACAGTCAATCAAAGCAGCAGCGAGCGGGGCACCGACCATTGCCCATGCAGCAGGACGGCAGCGGGGGCAAGGGGGAAGGGAAACGAGTCGGAACGATTCGTCACACATTCAGATATGTCCATAGCCTCACAGCACGCATATACGAAGGGATGATACATCGAGACTGCTTCACAGTCGCATGTACTGATTGTGACATTCAGATGGCTTCACAGCGCCCATGGTGTCACCTACATACCTGGTCTACTGTATAGAATACAAGTATTGCATTGGTGTGAGTGGTGGTGGGGGGTTCAGTAAGTTTCTAGCTAAGATGGGGGGGATCTACAGCCATGCAACTCTAGCCCAAGGTTCCCAAGGCCAACCAGCTCCAGGTCAAATAAGCAGCAAGGTATCACTTAACAACGCAAGAACAGGCGCGGAAAACACTACCTGGCAGTATCATGGAACGCCGCGTTCATGCTTGCCAAGACCGAAGTGGGTCATGATCTACGACACTTGCAGTCACACGGGACACAGCTACAATAGGCGACGATAAAGTCACTGATGTCGGCATCACGCTGGCCATGGCCCTCACCGGTGGGGCGGCCTTGGACTGCTTCTTAGACTGCTTCTTCGACTTGCCCGAGGACGGCTGCTGCTGCTGCGGCGGCGCTGCGCGGGGCTTGCTCTCCGCTTCCTGCTGCGCGAGCGCCTTCGCGGCAGCGGCCTCCTTAGCTGCCTGCGCCGCCTTGCGTGCAGCCTGAGAGGGGAAGGGTTGGGTCGGGGCACAGGTTAGGTTGCTGGGATTGAAGCAAGGGAGGTGGGCCCCTTAATATCATCGGCGCCGCCGCTTTGTGGGTAGCCTGCATCGAAACAACCCGCAAGTAAACGAGCAGTGGTGTTGCAGTCGTTAGATCTAAAACACGACGGAGGGAGGAACACGTACCAAAACCGAGAACCGGGTACCGCTGGCCAAGAGCAACGGCCACAACAATAGCGGAACGGTAACGGGGTGTTAGTGGTAAAAAGACCCACAGGCCAAAACGAACCTCTTGCTTCTGCTTCGCGGCCGCCTTCCTGTCCTTGGCTGCCTGCTTCCTGGCCGCCTCCTCCTTTGCCCTGCGTTCACATAGCAACGTAACGAGCACAACATCCAGAGGAACATGGGCGCGTGTCGCACTGAAACAGGGCCCAAGCGACAAGAGGTGCAAATACTAACACTGGGTAGCCCCTTCATGTGGAACTGGGCACATGAAAGGCTCTGGCAGAGAGGCGAAGCGATTGTCAAGCTACGACGGACGACGGGGCGGTCGAAGGCAGCTTTCCGATGCAGTCCCCAACAGTACATGTAGATCGCGCAGCACCGAACGAGAGCGTTCTCTTGGAGTATCCAGCATGTCTGTGCGTGTGTAAAAGATGCGCGTGGTGCACGTTCCTCCTCGCCTTCATTGTCGACTCGGCACTTCCTTCCCCTCATGGCGGACAAAACCATCACGGCTTGTTGCCACGGTACGGGCTACGGGCGGTGTGTCCTGGGGGTGTCATAAATCGCAAGGTATGGATCTAAATGCCCAAGGCACGGTTGTAACATGTGGTGCGGAGCGGAACACCCGCACCCGGTACAAAGGCAGCCTTGTCATCATCCATTCGCCGGCGAGCGCTAGGGGCAGGTTCTCGTCTACAGACGTGCTTCTACTGGAAATACACGACCCCCAAACCAAGGAGCGGCATTGTCGGGGAAGCGAGTTTTGAAGCCTGCTACTGCCTACTGCCTGCCTGTTTCCAAAGATGGACGATGGACGATGGACGACAACGATGCCCACCTGTCTTCCTCCCGAGTGAGCTCACGGATCAGGCTGTCCGCCGTGGCCTCCGCCTTCTTCGCCGTCCTCTGCGCTGCCGGGCTCTGTTCCCGCAGCATGGACGGAAGATGACGGTCGGCCATGGTGGTGACCAGAACAATGTACCATGTCGTCCACAGGGAAGGGGAGGGAGTCAAGGCAGACAGAGAGACAGGCAGGCGAGATGGCCAGACCGATAGAGGGAAAGCGGGAATCAGGCTTGAAAGTACGCTTGGGATGTTGCGTACCCAGAGGGCGGCCCCGATACAGCAGTAGTACGAGCGCGTCGTAAGATCCGTCTCCTGGGGAGACAGTCTACACCTGCGCTTCCTGACTTCTTCACCCAAGTGCCACTGACGTCCCATATTGCTATGGCTGGCACCACGCGTATACAGCGAACATGTGACCGATACTCCCACAGCTCCAGCCCTCCGCCGTCCCACGGGAAGACAAAAGATACTTAGATAAATGTACACTCGAGATATGATACCTACCGTGCAGGGAGTGCGGACATGTATGTATGAATCTATATTCCAGGATGTAGAAAACATGATTCGGAAACTCTTCCGACGTTGTGCGTTGTGCCATGCCGTGCGTGGCAGACTACACTACTGTTGACAATCAACTGAAACAACGAGCCACCACGCGCAGTCGAACTGCTGGGCCTGTACCCAATAGCTATGCTAGCGTACGATGAGCCTACGGCGGCCGTTAGCAGGCAGCAGGCTACGACACGGATCTGCTCGATCAAGAGCACGCCGCATCTAAGCGAATCGCAGACTCTTTTTCATTGCGGTGGAACACTATTTTGGAACCCCTGCTACCTGCTACATGGCAACCACCTGTTCGACAAAACACGGTCTACAATCGTGCTGCCCGCCGTGTGATGCCGACAGAGTGGGTGTCCAGCTGTGTGACCCTAGCGGGTTTGTGTGAACCGGGAATGTAGTGTATGCATGTTGTAAGTAGGCCTTTGGTCTTGCGCAGACCAGACGCACAAGAACAAACAGAAGCTTTGGCTTTCGGACACATCGATATGTACAGCACTCAGACCAAGACCACCCATCGCTTCTCTTCTCAAAACAAGTTGCACAAAGCACCGCCAGGGGTTACGTGTGTGGAGACAACCCCGCGGACAAGCCGAGGGGCGGCCAAAACCCATGGCTTGATTTCACAATCTCGTGACAGCATTCTTCTGGAATACTGCTGCTGAGTAGAAGTACAACACCAGGGTAGACTATTTCCGAAAGGGCAGCTGGGTTCTGCAGCAACCATTCTGCAGCAATGCCGAGCGCTCGTCCTCACCGACTTCCCCGCGTAGAACATGTAGCAGCCTACGGCCACAGCGACCAGCGCCAAGAAGGCCATGAAGGGAAGCACATCGTAGGTGACCTGTGGCGTCGTCCAATGAGACACGAGCACGTGGGGAGTAAAGAAACGGGTAGGATTTAGGAGACAAGCTCGGCGCCGCTCATCCAACAGCAGTAGAGAGGCGAGAACCCACAATCGCCCCCAGTGCAACGGGACCAAGCTACCGACATCCGAAATCATGCCACGTCTTGACTCCACCCCCTGGGGAAACGACGAAAGAGTGCACAAGAAGTTGGCGAGCAAAGAACCAGCGGTGGACACGAGCCAGCACAGCAAAATAAACTGTCCGATTAACACCACCACACGAGGGAAGAAAACGGCTCCTGATTCCTGACTACCCGCGGGCATGCAGCATACCTTGAGGGTGATCAGGGCCAACGGCAGCGCCAGGAAGGGAAGGTTCTCTGTCAGGGAGAACGGCATCGTTCCTGAAGACGAGAGGGGAGACGGGCGACCGTGCGTGCCTGGGGCTCAAGCTTTCCTGGTTGCTGGTGGAGCAGGTGGATCGAGAAGAACAAGCCGCCGCGGGGGGCACGCCATACACTAGGCGGCGATGAATGGGTACCCAGGGGGAGACGTAGATTGCAGCAGTCCCACCGCGCCGTGGGTTCGTCTCTCACCACACGGTGGCCTTGGGAGTGGGAGGGAGCACGAGGGCGAGAGGGGGGGGGGAGAGCTTGCAACATGTCAGCAGCAGGTGAGAACTTTGCTGCGTTGGCTATGACTACGGCATTGTGTACCGGTTTGGGTCATGTTTTTCAATTTACTACCTGCTGATCAGCTGTAAATTTTGAAATCCGTTGTCCGAACGTTACTGCTACTCTGTCTTCGACTTGCGACATTGCTGTCTCTCTCGGTGCATGTACCTTTCTCCTTCGGATATGTAGCGTTTCAAGTAGACGAGAGAACTAACGTTAGGTTGAAGGAGATGAGAGATAGAGCGACCTCACCGAATTTTCAATTTTCTCGTCGGTGTATCATGTGGGTATCCACCCTCGAGCGACGTTACGAGAGAGAGGCATCAGAAAGCTGACTTGTTTGAAGGAAACTTTAAATTTGAAACGGTTTTCGAACGCCAGCGATAGGTTACATTCCAAACCATGCGTCGGCGATACATTTTCAGAAATCGAGCTATCACGTACGAAGTATTTTTGGTCTACATGCAGGACACCGAGGGGGGGGTGATATTCGACGTCACATGTACAGAATCTGTGTTGCCACTTTGGCAGATTGGGTTGACAGAGAGCTAAATTGTGGTCTAAACCAATGAGGTAGTGACAGTTGACGTTCCTTTAGTGCGATACGTACATAGTGAGAAATCCAGCTCCAAATAGTAGTCTACATGTAGGACATTGTCCGAGAGGGGGTGTTATTCGACGTCACATTACAGAGTCGGTGTTAGGGTACATACACTTCTGTATCGGGTTGACAGAGAGCTGTTCGTGGTTTTTAACTAACGAGGCAGTGACACGAATTTGCCTACTTACCGTGCGGTCGCGGGCGTATGCCCGTGCTCCCCCAATCGTTATCGCTTCCCATCAGGGTCGTGGACACTTGGTCGAGACAGAGATAGAGACAGAGACAGAGGGATGGAGAACACGAACAGCAGCCAAGATCTGTCGTTCGATGTCCTCGGGGTACTGCCGACCGTCCCGACAACCACACCACTCGAACCCAGCCTCATCGGTTCGCACACACGCACAGGGAGGCCTCAGTCCCACCATTCGTATGCCCTGGGAGGGGAAGGCATAGCATCAGGTATGTTTTACGTGGGCGTGGACCACACGCGGGGAGCACGGCAAGCTGCGGCGCGTTAGGGAAGACGATGCTTTGTGCAATGAATACGTGATATTCAGAAAGTAAACATAACCTCACAGAAAGACTACCCGTTCGAGATATAACCTCAGTCGAAAGGTATGTGGTGAAGTCTTTTCAGTAAGTGGACTGAAACCGACCGGAGACTTGGCTTATTTTGAGTTTGTGTAAGCCTAACACTGAGTTGTCAGTGATGCCAGTTGGTGCTAAGAACAAAAGCATCTGTATAGGCTGATACATTCTTAACTCTTTGTAGAATGTGGCCTTCACAGGGAACATGGCGCAGTGTCGTTTGACAACTTGCTGTGAATTGATACGCTATTTGTTGGTGTGTCTGCTAGGTCCGCAATAAATATAGGGTTTGAGTTTAGAAGTATTTGTTTTTTGGTGTGTTTAGTTTTGGTTTTGAGGACGCAATATCCCGTGTGTGCATTACGGCCAGCTGCTGCTGTCTGAAGCGGGGGCCAAATCGCATGTGTTTCTTGATGGGTCTGGCGAGCGCTGTTGGTGAAGATGCAGGCAGAGTATTACGTTTTTGGCAGGTCGTGTCATAGAGCACGCCGCGCTGTGTCATGTGCTCCCCACGCTCTTTCTCGTCTGCCCTCTCCTATGGCAATCACGTCGCCAGCGTCGTACGATACACGACACCACATCCGCCAATGCTGCCCATTGCGCATTGTACATAGCAGGCACTGGTGGGAGCACAGAATCTGGTCTTGAGCAAGGGTTCGAGCGAGAAAGCTATGACTCAGACCAAGAGCTGGAAGCGATTCGAGGATCGGTGCGCAGTCTCCGCGCGCAGCGGGCTGCCGTGGAGAAGCTGAAGGAGAAGGCACGGCTGCAGGAAGGCACGGCAGAAGAGCTCAGACGCAAGCTTCGGGAAGCGGAGGGAAAAGTTTGTGAGCTCAGGGCTCAGGGAGGACGAGATGTGGTGCGACGCCTCATGGACGAGGTGACCAATAGCTGCCACTTTTTTTTTCTTCGCAGGAACAGAAAAAATTAATATCTCTAGATCCAGTAAATATTCGCTATGATTTCATGGTTTTTGTACGCCTTGTGTTGGCAACAAGTGGAAAAGGGGCGGGTATCATGGTCCAACGAGAGGGTGCGTCTCACTGCATAAACAGTGCCAGAGTTAAATCGCCAAATTAAGGCAGACACAAAGAGTACTCTCGAGTTGTGGACGCTTTGTACCGCTGCTTCGGGACCCGGTTCTGCCGTCCAAGAGACTCTCAAGACCCCGTGAGCGATCGATACGCTGCTCGCTCGCTCGCTCGCCCCTTAGGGTTGGTGTTTTAGGGTTAATCCCTACCCCAGCCCTACCCGTACCCTGAATGATTGTCTCTTGTGATCCCTACCCCAACCCTACCCTTACCCTATTCTAACCTTAAACACCTCTCTCGTGTGGTCTGTATTCACACGCCGCCGTAACAAATCTGCAAGGTGACCGAGCTGCGTGCTCGGCTCAAGGCCACTTCGACGGCCTTTCAGACGCGGGAGAACAGCGTAGCCGACCTGCGGGAAGCCGTGCAGACCCTGACTCTGGATTTGCGCGCGGGACAGGAGAAAGCGAGAGCGCAGTCTCGAAAGCTCGAACAGCAGGTGACGTCGGGAAATAATTGCAGGACTTGGTCCGAACACAATTTTTCTATTCCGTGAGGAACATGCCTGTCAGGCACAGGTGTGTTGATTCATGCTGCTCGGGCCACGCCCTGTTGATGTTGGGACTTCTTCAAGCAAGCATGGAGTTTGATTTTGGGTGCATTACCTATTCATGTATCCATCCACTTGCGCTATGAGGCACGTATCCCACTGGCCTCGCTTTGCTCACCCAAAAGAGCAGGCAGAGGCGCCCCACCTATGTGTTCGGGATGCGCGTTGTAGATCTGAATCAGGGAGGGCAGTGTTGCCTCACACCCACCATCTCGTCTCCTCGGACGTTGCGATAGCAACACTGCTGTACCTGTCGTCGATCTTACCCTCACCTCTCGCGACTTCCTCTCCCAAGGGCCGAGAATCGCAGGAGCAGCAGGTGACTATCGCCCGCTTGGAGGAATCTTGTGCGAGGTGCGAAGAGAGGGCAGAGATGGCGGAGAAAACAGCGGAGGAAAAGGTACAACACACCGACAACGAACCCTTGTTCATCGTTCGTGTCCACGGTTTGACACCCGTTTACGGGGTGGAGCTCATCACGCCAACCTTGGCTACGCCCGTCAGGCTGCAAAAGAGCCATGTCCCGGTCGTCAAGTCTTGCTGTGTCGAGACTTGTTCTCGGATCGAGGTTGTTCTGGCGCTAGCTTTGACTGAATCTCTTCTTCTTGTTCCTGATTGCCTGGCCACCCCTTTGCTCTTTTGTCGACGTTTGCGTTCTTGCAGTGCGCTGCCTCTGGGCGCGAGTTAGCGTCACTGTCAGCGCTCTTGAGAGAGGCCAACGCCACTCTCGACGCGTCCAAGGGGAGCATGCAAGCCACAGTGGCCAAGCAGGCGGAGAAACTCGAAGCTGCCCGCAAGGTGAGCGTCGAGGAGAGTTACGTGTTTCCCGTTTGTTTGCATCGCAGCAGAATACGCTTGTGCTGCTGCTATCAGAGCCGGATGTTCGCGTCGAATAGATCGTACGCATCACTTCGTTCTCTAGAAAAAAGTAACTTTGGGCCCTGACGTTTTTTGTTGCTCGGGCTTGTTGCTAAGGGAATTGAACCGAACAAGCGCTGCCGTTGATTGTGCGCAAATAGCCGAACGATCTCAATCGTAGATACCGGCGGATTGTGCCCTGTCCTTCCATCCCCGTCAGGAGAAAGAGTCTCTGTTGTTCGAGAAAGGCCAGACTCAGGAACGTGTGAAGGAGCTCACATCCATGTGCGAACGACAGCGGTCGAAGCTCGCCGATGCCGGGCATCGCGCCAGAGAGCTTGAACGATTGGCTTCCGCTGCCAAAAAGGAAACCAGGCTGGCGCAGGAGCAGGTGAGAATATATTCTAGCGTCTGGTGAGCGCTGAGGGCAAGGGGGGGGGATTGTATGTTTGTTTAATTGATTACCATCGACCGCTCCAAGCGGCTGATCAATTCAAGGACGCCAGTTTCTCAACCAGAGAACAAACGCATATACTTCTACTCGTTTTTTGTCTCCGACGAGCGTCTGTGTGCCATCTCGGATATTCTGGGCGTCGATACGTACACCTTACACCTGTAGGCAGGTGCAGCAGTATGTCTTCTGGGATGCACCAGCCAGGCAGTCGGGACTGTGTTTTTGGTCGTCACTGCTGTTGCGATTCGCGGTGTGCTCGAGTTGCATTTCATCTGTCCATCGTACTGCTCTGAAAGGGCTATATTGCAGGGAAGGCGGCATGACCCTCATCATCCATGTTTGCACCAAGTGCTCTGCATCAGCAGGCATTTGGCATGACGAAACGCTGCAGAATCTGACCATAATTGCTTTACCTGCCCCGCGGGCGCTCGGGCCCAGGCGGCAAAGCTGAAGACGGAGTTGTCTGCGGCTGACAAGAGAAGGAGGGAGGAGGATGCCGGCGCCACGATAAAGCTCAGGACTGCTGCTCGGCAGGTGGAAGAGCTGCGGTCTGAGGTGGTTCTGGTCAAGTCGGAGGCCGCGGAAAAGGCGCGACAGCTCGTCAGGCATCGAGATGAGGTACTGTATCTTGGGTATCTTTAGATGATCTTTTTTGGGAGGTTTGAGTGAATGTGACTGGTGCTGTTGGTGGATGTCGACAATCGTCGCGTTAATGCTGCTCCTACGCACTTCCGGCGATATACCGATCATGAAGAACAATGGGGGGTTTCGAGATGGTGACTGCCATTTAGCGCTGAGATTTGGGAGGGTTGTTTGGCGATTGGCGCTGTGATACTCTCACTGTTGAGAAGGCAAAACCCGAGACCTTAAACAAGTCGCACTTACTTCCTCCACCGCTATATGCCGCGTTCCTCAAGATGTCCGCGTTCCGCGAGGACGTCAGCAAATTGCGAGAGGCGGCGGTGCAGCAGGGAGACATGCGACAGGCAGTGCGGGACCGAGATGAAACCATCAGAGGTCAGGATGAGGGCCACCACATTTGACATGCTACACACATGTCACGCGGATAGGCCTGCTTCCCTGATGCGCGTTCGCATATCGGAGACAACCCATCCGCTGTTTTCCCATTGCCTTGTCCTCTGGTGGCATGGTCCAGAAGCACGTTGATTTAACGCGGAGGGTTCGATACGCCTACATGTGTTCACGTGAGGTGTGGGGTTTGTCGCCCGGAAAACGGCTGGGTAGCGAAGCATTTCGCTCACCGGGGGCACTCACAGCAGGCAACGACATGCGATGCAATTTGCCTCGATTCGCATGGTGCCAAAGCACAGGAACACCTACGTGAGCTACCTATGTATGTGGAATCTTCCAACCGGCGAGTGTCAGCAAGAATGTGGACTAAGCGTGATTTTGTTCGACCGCTCCTCTGTCCCACCGTCACCTGATTCATTCCCCACCAGATCTAAGGCGTCAACTTGAACTGGAGAGACGGGAAAGGGGGCAGTGGGGACAAGCCAGGAAGCAGCTCCTGTTGGAGTTTTGGTGAGTTGCGCTGCGTATCGCAGCCCAGAGTTGGCCCCGGCTTTAACTAAAGCCCTCGTCATTTTGCCAGCGGCTTCGCAAGAGAGAGGAGTCCTACTACAATGTCTACGTCCCTCTCTGCTCTCTGTGGACCAAGTGGGTGTCAATGCGACGAGTGATTTGGGGGGTACTGTTAATGAGGTCAGGAAGAAAAGCTGCCACATCGTTTGTGGCTGTTTTACACAGACAAACTTCGAGAGCAACAAATGTGCGCAACATCGGCTATGCGATCTGGAAACTTGAGATCTGGAAAAACGTACCCAAGCCCCCCCCCCAAATCAGCTGTGTATGTAAACAGGGTTGAGTGCTGAATGCTCGTGGTGGCCCCGTATAACGCATCGTTTTTCTGCCAGCGCAGCACGCCCCCGAAAGGCATCTGCACCCCGTCTCACGCACGCACACCATCCTCGTACGTTTGCCTCGCGCACGCGCAGCGAAGAAGAAAACAAGCTCCGATCGACTCTCCAACCCGCGCAACACCAGGAGCCTCGCAGCACGCGGCGACAAGGACGGAAACAAGCCATTCTCGAGCACGCGCCACCGACGGGAAGCGATCGCCGCCTCACGCGCCACAAGCCCTTGAGCCGGCACGCCACCATTCGTAATATTCGGACTAACGGGGATTCCCGTCGTAGCAGCGCCAACAGCTCTTTGAGGGGTGAGGCGTGCGTCGCTCGCGAGGAAGAGAAGGTGTTCGGGGATAGCGAGGCGGGCGAAGTGCTTCTTGACCTTGCGGGAGGGGGGGTGAGAGACGGTGGTACCGGAACTTTGGGCGGATACGAGGAGGGGAATAGTAGTAGGACCATGGCATCGGACGAGTTTGAAATGCGGCCGGGGCAACAACTATCGCAACAAGCTTAGACAAAAGTTTGGGTTATAGTGTACAGCACCATACTGGGGCAGCGAGAATTGAAAATTGGGCAGAGGGTGCAGTATCAACAGTACAGAGATGTAGAAAATAGAGTTGTAAAAGTCATTATGTACCAAATTTAACTTGCCTACATTCTGCGTGTGTAGGTTGTTAATTTCAGTTGGGTGAGGTTTGAGCGGAGATACGAAACGAGTTTGCCTCACACCAGCTTGTCGGCGCGAAGCCGCCCAAAATCAGATGAGACGTGTGCACAGACGGAGTTGTCGTTTGTTCACCAAGATTGTTCACATAAACGCCCGTCGCCTCCGAAGCAGTGGTACCGGGTTGCATTTTAACGTTGGTGACAGGCACCGGGAAACAAAGCGGAACGTCGGCGGTATTTACACGGTAGAATCGCGGGCTTGCACGCTTCGGATTCAGTTACACCCTTTATTGTACCACAGCAACACCAACTACCACGTAAACAGTTCCACGTCGTCGCCGCCGCCGCCTTTATCTGCACGACAAGAAGCATCCTCCGCGCTCATCCCACAAGGAAAAGTTTTCCCGTCCATCGATGGCAGCTGGATTTTTCCTCTTCCGAAGACAGTGTCTTGGTGGTTTCTAGGACAAAAGCTCCACTCCTTCGGGTACGAGAGTCCACCCCATCCTCGCAGGGACCGCAATGGCTCAATCGTCGCTCTCGGCTGACCCAAGCTAAAGCACGAACAACGGCGAGAAAAGTTGGAGAGTGGGGAAGCCGTGTGAAACGGATCATAGGTGCTGTAGCGCATCACGACGAAAGAGAGCAGTCGAAAGTTTTTGTGCAGAGCACAACCTGTTGTGCACACGAAGGGTTTCCACTCTTGCCCGTCCCTCTATATGTATCCGCCTCGCTCACATGTTTCTCCAAGAGGGCGATGAGCTCTTCCACTAGCTCGTCGTCGCGGAATCTTCGATGACAGTCTTCGATCATCTGTCGCACACATTCATCGAACAGGGTGTCTGAGAAAGCAAGCACTATACTTGTAGCGTGCTCCCCCAAGGGTAGTCGGAACGTCAGGATAATAAAACCACCTTGAGTGGATGACAGCATTGCACTACTACTGCCATGAAGACTTCGCGTTGAGCAGTCGTCCATTGTGCAAACTTGGGGCTCGTGCTGTTCCCAAGCTCTAGCTTGGGTCTCAGTCGATCAAAAGTTTTTTTTTTCCGTCTGTCTGTGGAGTTTTCAGTATCATAGCGGACCCCTTGCCCGACCGGGTCGAAAAGGCCGATCTCAGCCCACACTGCGAACCTCCGAGAACTACCAGCAGTTCTGGGTAGCTGAGACGATTTCAAGACCTCTCACAGTCGTTTGAGCAGCTATCGCTTGCTGTGGGGCGATAACCAGTTTCTCCGTCGACAAGAAGATCTGCGTTACATCGTCACATCGGAACGACCAGATTGGTTGACTTGTCGTTGAGGGTCCTCTTTCTATAGATCTTTTGTATAAGAGTCGTCTTCATTTTGTTCGCCGCCCGCGCCAAGCCTTCTTTTTTGCAGATCTTTTTATATAGAGTCGTCTTCTTTTTTTCGCCGCCCGCGCCAAGCCTTGCTTGCTGGCCACGCTTCTCTCGAGATGCTGACCGACCTCAGCACACAGCTGGACATTCTGTGTACATACAGCAGGAGCTGCTTTTGTTCTGTTGTTGCAGCTTTCTGCATGGCTCTTTTGTGGTGCGAAAATCAGCATTTATTGTTGCTGTTGATGTGCGGACGAGAGGACGAGAGTGGTAGGCAAAAGCAGTACGTACCTGCAAATCTCCGGCAACTACCAGCAGTTCTGGGTAGCTGAGACGATTTCAAGACCTCTCACAGTCGTTTGAGCAGCTATCGCTCGCTGTGGGGCGATAACCAGTTTCTCCGTCGACAAAAGGATCTCATTGGAACGACCAGATTATTATTAGTTGATGACCTGTCGTGGAGGGTCCTCTTTTTATAGAGTCGTCTTCTTTTTTTTCGCTGTCCCGCGCCACGCTTCTCTCGAGATGCTGTTTTAAAACATCCTGTCGTTACTCTATCGATACCTCACACCCACCCCTACTCACGCCGACGCAGACACAGACAGGCAGACTCAGCTCCTTCGCCTGTGCTGTATCTGTTGTTCGTGCGTGCTGAAAAATGGTACATACAGCAGCAGCATACAGCAGCAGGAGCTTCTTTTTGCTTGTACAGCTTTTCCTGCAGGGATGGCTCTTGTTGTGCGGCAAGTTGCATTGTTTGTTGTTGATGCGGACGAGAGGACGAGAGTGGTAGGCAAAAGCAGTACGTACCGTGTTAAAGGGACAGACAGAGTGGAACAGAGTATAGGAGTTGTGCGCGGTGAGGAGGAACGGCTTTCGAAGGCACATGCGGTATGTATAGCACACAGCTGGACATTCTGTGTACATACAGCAGGAGCTGCTTTTGTTCTGTTGTTGCAGCTTTCTGCATGGCTCTTTTGTGGTGCGAAAATTAGCATTTATTGTTGCTGTTGATGTGCGGACGAGAGGACGAGAGTGGTAGGCAAAAGCAGTACGTACCTGCAAATCTCCGGCAACTACCAGCAGTTCTGGGTAGCTGAGACGATTTCAAGACCTCTCACAGTCGTTTGAGCAGCTATCGCTCGCTGTGGGGCGATAACCAGTTTCTCCGTCGACAAAAGGATCTCATTGGAACGACCAGAGTATTATTTAGTTGATGACCTGTCGTGGAGGGTCCTCTTTTTATAGAGTCGTCTTCTTTTTTTTCGCTGTCCCGCGCCACGCTTCTCTCGAGATGCTGTTTTAAAACATCCTGTCGTTACTCTATCGATACCTCACACCCACCCCTACTCACGCCGACGCAGACACAGACAGGCAGACTCAGCTCCTTCGCCTGTGCTGTATCTGTTGTTCGTGCGTGCTGAAAAATGGTACATACAGCAGCAGCATACAGCAGCAGGAGCTGCTTTTTGCTTGTACAGCTTTTCCTGCAGGGATGGCTCTTGTTGTGCGGCAAGTTGCATTGTTTGTTGTTGATGCGGACGAGAGGACGAGGGTGGTAGGCAAAAGCAGTACGTACCGTGTGTACAAGGGACAGACAGAGTGGAACAGAGTATAGGAGTTGTGCGCGGTGAGGAGGAACGGCTTTCGAAGGCACATGCGGTATGGGTCACAGATCTTTTCGTCACGGATCTTTTGCCTAGCCGCGTGGCCCCCTGGGCCAACTCCGCGCTCACCCCCACATCGGTCACTCCCTCTCCCTCTCCACTCCCTCTCATCCTCCGTTAGAAGCCCGGATTCTTCACACATCATGTCGTCGGAAGCGCAGCAGATCGCCGAAATGTGGGGCGACTTCGAGGAGGAAGTGGCCCAGATTCCTCGCGTCATGCCCAAGCTCACCCCCGAAGAGGCCGCTA